TAAGGCAATTTGGCAATATCTATATCAAAAGCATTAAAACTATGCATACCCTTGAATGAGAAAAGCCACATGTAGGAAGGAGGGGCGTATGCAAGGTAAGCATGAAAACAGATAAGAGGACCTCTCTGAAGGGGTACGGGCAAGAAACCCAAACATACTCTCCCTCCTTCTTCTTCCCAGATCTAGAGTCTGAAGGCCACACTGGCCAAGGTTGAGAGTCCTAAATAAAGGAAGCTGACTTGCTGCATCCAGCCCGAGTTCCCTGAGCTGGGCCATGGGATCCTACCAAGCACAGTGGAGTGTCATTTCACAAAAATAAAGTTTAAAGTCCAAATAACAGCGATGCGCCTTGTGTGGCTCAGCAGATCCTACAGAGAATGAGGTGCAAGCAAGGGCTCCAGATGATCAGCTCTTCAAAGGTATGACGATGACAGAGACAGGCACTGAAAGAGGGCAGGCAACTGCTCAGCGATGCACTGACTTGACTTTTCATCGCACCCAAAAGGAGGTGGATATTTAAAACTGATAAACTCGACTAGTCTGTGTGTTGGGGACTGCTTTAACAGAAAGGTTACAAAGATAGCAGAGTTCCCACATACCCTTCACTCAGTTTCCCCAGTGGTAACATCTTACTTTACTATGGTACATTTGTCACAGTTAAAGAGGCAACAATGCTACATGACTATTAACTAAACCGCACACTTGATTCACATTTCACAAGCTTTTCCCTAATGTCCTTTTTTCTGTTCTAGGAACCCATGCAGAATATGACACTACCCATTTAGTCATCACGTCTCCCTAGCCTCCTCTGGTCTGGAACAGCTTCTCAGACTGCCCTTGTTTTTGATGACCTTGACAGCTTTGAAGAGCGCTGGTCAGGCATTTTGAAGAGCGTCCCCTCCTTGGGGACAACAGTATTGTCTGATGTTTTCCCATAGTTACACTGGGGTTACGGTTTGGCAGAAGAAGCCCACAGACGTGAAGTGACAATTTCAAGACAACATATCAAAGGTACGTGCTGTCAACTTCACATCAAGAAGAGCTAGCTTTGATCACCTGGCCAAGGTATTTCTGGGATACGCTTTCTTTTCCGCCCCTTTCCATACTCCGCTCTTTGGAAGCAAGTCATTAAGAACAGCCACTCAGGGAGTACAGAGTTAAACTCCAACTCCTGGAGTGGAGGAGTCTTTACAAGAATTACTTGGAGTTCGTCTGTATCAGAAATTTGTCTCTACTCTCATTTATTTACTTATACGATCATTTGATTATATCAGTGTGGACTCACAGATATTTATTTCATATTTTGGGTTATAAGTCAATACTATGTTATTTATTTTGCTGGTCAAACTGTCCCAGCTTTGGCCACTGGGAGCAATTTCAGGTTGGCTCCTGTGTCCCTTTGACACATCCATCATGTTGTTTTTTGAACATTTCCTTTCTTTCTGCTTCCTCATATTTTTTTTTTTTTAAAGATTTTATTTTTTCCTTTTTCTCCCCAAAGCCCCCCGGTACATAGTTGTGTATTCTTCGTTGTGGGTTCTTCTAGTTGTGGCATGTGGGACGCTGCCTCAGCGTGGTCTGATGAGCAGTGCCATGTCCGCGCCCAGGATTCGAACTAACGAAACACTGGGCCGCCTGCAGCGGAGCGTGCGAACTTAACCACTCGGCCACGGGGCCAGCCCCCATAGTTGTATATTCTTACTTGTGGGTCCTTCTAGTTGTGGTACATGGGACGCTGTCTCAGGGTGGTTTGATGAGCAGTGCCATGTCCGCGCCCAGGATTCGAACTGACGAAACACTGGACCGCCTGCAGCGGAGCGCACGAACTTAACCACTCGGCCACGGGGCCGGCCCCGCTTCCTCATATTTTTATCAGCAAAAATGCCTAACTTAAGAAAAGGGCAGTTATGGGTTGAATTGTGTCCCTGCAAAATTCACGTTAAAGTCCTGGCCCCACTACCTCAGAATGGGACCTTATTTGGAAACAGAGTCACTGGAGATGTAATGAGCGAAGATGAGGTCATACTGGAGTAGGGTGGGCCCCCAATGCAACATGACTAGTGTCCTTATAAAAAGGGGACATTTGGACACAGACAGCACACGGGGAGAACACCATGTGAAGATGACTGAGGCTGAGACTGAGGTGATGTATCTACAAACCAAGAAAAGCCAAAGATGCCAGAAGACCCCAGAAGCTAGGCAAGAGGCCCCGAACAGATTCTCTTTCACAGCCTCAGAAAGAACCAACCCTGCCGACACCTTCATCTTGGACTTCTAGCCTCCAGAACTGTGAGGAAAGAAATTTCTGTTGTTTAAGTCACTTAGTTGTCACTGTTATGGCAGTCCTAGCAAATGAATACAAGGGCCACTGTCAGTGAGCTCTGCATTGCAGTTAAAAACAATTCACAGATGTGGTATCAAAAGAAGCAGGTACAGAGGAACATCCCAACATACATCCAAAAGGGTACACTGGACAACAGGGGCACGAGTCTTATGTATCACAGCATTTAGCATCGTATCTGGACGTGAACAAGGTTTGGGGCAGTGTTTCCAGAGGCCTCATTTTCCCTGCGGTTTTCAGCCACCTGCGGCTCTGTTCAGAGCGCTACTTGCCCAGCACACCTGCAAGTGCTAGCAATAACCACCCATCTAGTATAATCACCATCTTCAGCATGCTAAGTACCAGCTCCATGAAAGCCAAGCACTTCCCAGGTGCCCTGCACAGCACCCCATGCAAGGGCTGTCAGGTGACTCCTTGCATCACAGCCAGTAACGTCAAGGCGGCATTTTTGGTCTCTATTTAATGACTTGCTTTGTCCCACTTCCATCTTCCCTATGTCGTATCAACAAGTGGCCTGATTGCTTAGAATCAAACTGAACACCACATCGTCATAAGCTACATAAATATTGTACCATCATCCAGTCTTTAGAAGCTTTGGTACAATTTTACACACTACAGGATACTGAGGCAAAGTCTAAGCTTTCAGATGAAAGGATTAGTCTCCAGGAAAGAGAAAGTGACTTGTTCTCAGAGTTGAGACATGGAAGAGGCAGGCTAGAATCTGATATGTCATCTCAGTCCACATCCAGTGACCTTTAAGGGGGTGAAATCTAAGCCCCTGCAAGGGTAGATTCAGAAACTTTTTTTTTCCCCTCAGTCAACCGGGAGAAAAGGAACTGGAGGTGACAGAATGAGATCTGAAGTATTCGTTTGGAAATTATTTTCATTACAAAAGCTCTGGTTCGTCTGCATTTTTACACCTACATTAAAAAATCAAATGAAGTCATTAAGCTTAGGCCAGCTCAGAAAGCCTCTCGCCTGAGTATGCATTCCTCTTGCAACCCCCAGAGCTCTGCTATAATCCTTCAAATTATTAAATAATTACTGCGTTTCCCCTGGGGTCATATTTGGCAACAAAATACTGGTCTAAATGAACCAATGATATAACCCAGAGAATTACACTTATGTTCTCAACTTCCTAGAAGCAAGAGACTATGAAATACTTCCGAGGTACAAACTGGGGGGGAGAGTGAAGGGTTTTCTGCGGGGTTTGCAGGGTGAGGGGAGTAGAACAACAAAGGAACATGAGAATCTGGGAAATATTCCAATAATTAGTGTCATCTCCTCCCCGACCATGCTTTCGTGGCAGCCATTCTCCACTCTAATCCCAGCTCCCTTCCATTTCAGGAGTGGCTACAGACACAAGGAGAAAACCAAGCATATGGCTCCGTCCTTCTGGACATTTCTACAATGTTGGCTGGGCAGCTTTGGAAAATCCCATCTTATCTCCTACAGCTATATGACCTCAAGTTGTCATTTCCAATAAAGTATGCTTCCAGTGATTTTTATGAACATAGACAAAAGCTGCTACAACCTTTTTTTTTCTTCTTCAAATCTTTCAAACCAACTGTAGTTGCTATGTAGGGTTATTTGTTTCTAAGGCAACAGCGTATATCTAAGTACTAATGGCCTGTCCTTTTGCCAGGCAACAAACAGCCTTGTGATGCAACTGCACCTGTCTCGGCTACGCGTTACTATGGAGACGCTCCAGTTGCTATGGCTACCATCACGCTAATCGCCTAGCAAAGGCAGACATACAGCAGTCTTCTCAGAGAGCCCAGCTGTTCCTTTCCGTCTCTTGCTGAAGACTGATTGTCTCGGGCCTGTGATGGAATGCTTCTCAACTGAGATGCACAAGAACTTCATTAATGCTGTTTCAGAGGATCACCTGGTGCTCCCTTCTGCAGAGCAAACCCCAGACTAGAGAAAGAATCTGTAAAGAAGTGGATTGTAAAACAACTGAAACCTAGGAATTCACGCCACTCCTCATTGGCATAAACCTGTGGTCCAAGGATAATCTCTCTTAACTGGATGGTTACAAGAGAAACATTTCCATATACCAAAAAAATTTTTTGTAGGATTGAGGGGTACGTTTCAAACCCAAGCACCATGTAAGAAAAAGCAATCTTAAAATTTGGCTTTGTGTTAGGCGGTTATCTTTTATTTTATTTTTTTTAAAGATTTTTTAATTTTTTTCCTTTTTCTCCCCAAAGCCCCCCGGTGCATAGTTGTATATTCTTCATTGTGGGTCCTTCTAGTTGTGGCATGTGGGACGCTGCCTCAGCATGGTTTGATGAGCAGTGCCATGTCCGCGCCCAGGATTCGAACCAACGAAACACTGGGCCGCCTGCAGCGGAGCGGGCAAACTTAACCACTCGGCCACGGGGCCAGCCCCGGCGGCTATTTTTTAGAATCTAACACTAATACACTTTTTTTAAAAGGGACAGCTACATACCCCGCCCTGATGATATCTTTGTAAAAATGGCACCCATGACCTCACTGTCTCAAAACAAATGGGCATGTGAGGAGGAATAAAAGTCTTCATTGTTCTCTGCTGTTCTCTTTGAAGAGGCAAACACCAAGTAACCACAACAAAATGATCTCTCAAGCACCGTTTACATGGAGACCGGGAACGACAACAATTGGGTGAGTCCTTCAGTGAACACCTGGAGACACTCTCGGGCAGATCATGGGACGACGGCATCGCTTATTTGACTCATTCCTATACTTTTAACCCAACAAACCATCACACATGGAGATGTTAAAGCCGTCAACTTTTCTTTGTAAATGTTTCTACCCAGGAAGACATTATTTCACCCACCATGAAGTCTTCTGGAAACACATTCCTCCGAAGCAGCAAAAGCGGTAAGGTTTTCAGGACATACAACAATGGGTGTGCCTCCAATAATATCTCATTCCTTTCTTAATTATCCACAGTTATTTTTAAAATCAGATAGCCTGTTAAATTAGTTTCAGTGCCTATCTCAACCAAAATAACGCAACTTCCGTAAACAAAAACAATAATAAGTCTGAATCGCTTACCTTTGATATGCCTGAGGAGAGGCGGGAGGTGTACTGAACACGTGTGGGTGTGGGTGATAAGGTGTCTTTTTCAAAGCCTGAATTAGATTTTGTCTATACTCTGGGTCTATGCACCACAATGACCCTTTCCCAATACTCTGCAAAGAAAATTAAAACATAAAAGTGATTAATATGGAAACATTCAGTATTTTGCAGTAAGTAGATGTATCGTTATTATCATGGTTACTTGTTTTTAAAAACTTCTCACTTATTTGTTAACTGTTAACAGCCTTAAATATTGTATATTATACTCTGACAATAGAACACCATAAAATGCACTTCAGCCTTACTCGTATTAAGTTTGACAGAGAAAATAAACACGTTATTACAAGGTGATGCTGTACAATGATATTGTAATTTTCATATCCCAACGACCAAAAGACTTAGATTCCTTTATTATTGTTCAGTGTCAACTCTGAAAAACATGTATTTTCTTCCAAAAATGAGTTTTAAATTTGTCGGATTTCAAATGTTGAAAGAAAAAGAGAGCTGAGACACCCTCAAAACTCTGTCTGCGCTTTAAAAATTTGAGAGTTAATGTTTTGAAACCATATTACATTGGTACCACTTTACAAAAACAGAAAAGTAATCCACTTGTTTTTTCCTACTTACTCACAAAAGAATGACATTTAAGCTTCAAACAGAATTCTCTAATTACCTTCCCCAAGAAACAAAAGAACTCAGGCGGCAGTGGTAAACCTAAGCCAGAATCCACTATTTATTTTTTGGATTCCTCAGTTCACAGCACTCTGCTCCAGGCCTAAAGGAGTGGAATTGCTAGAAGCCAAACTTTAAAATGCAAATTTTCTAAGACTGGCTCCAAGGAAAGAGGGAGCCCAGCTCTGAGGCCTACTTTCGGTTGGAGACTTTTGGTCTGCGGACAGCACTTTCTAGAAAAAAAGGGAAGTCCTTCCTCTGAGGCCCCCGGGGAACTGGCAGCAGGCTGGCAGGTAGTCACTGCTGGGACTGCATGCTCTCAAGTGACCGAATGTACCCAAGCTGTTTGATAAGGTCATCTGTAAATATTTACAGATTTGGAGAGAAAAGAAGTCAAATTACACAAACCCGCGCCCACCCCATGCTTCCAGCCAGCAGCTCTCTTATTTTCAGATCTATTGTGCTGCAGGAAGATTTAGAAAGCAAACAAGAAAATTGTTTAACTACTATAGGGGGGAAAGTCCAAGAAAATCCCTTAGAAGAAGAACTAAAAATAAGTTATTCCTAAAATCTTTAAAGCTACTTTAAAAAATTTGTATTTCAGTCATCAGTTCACCAAATAGTTTACTTACAAACTTATTCACAGAACCCATTAAAATTCTTGACTGTCAACAACACCAGCAAACAGTGAAACTGGAATTGACTCTTTCTGGTGCACTGAGACAGAGAATTGCTCAAAGCCAAGGTCAGGGGCTGCAGCCTCTGATTCCCGCCCCCCTCAATCACCCACCCCCAGGCACAGGCCTGACCCCAAACCCAGGTCCCAGTCAGGCCGACCTGCCTAAGCTAAATGCTTAAGTTCCTAGTTTAATTATTGGGATGTTTAAAGGCACGGAGGAGTTCAACTTTGGAACATCCAACATCCTGACGCGGCCTTTCCTTTCACGCATGCATTTTCAAGCCTAGAATAGTTCAGAGGGACTGAGGAGACTTCCCAGGTAAGGGAGGCAGGCCACCTAATAATCTGCTCTGGACCCTCTGTTCTTTCCTTTGGAAAAGAGCTATGCAGCACACTTTTTAGAAAAAAGCCAGAGCTAAGGGATGGAGAGGTATGGGGGAGGAGGGGACAGACCAGTAACTACCAAATTTGGCTAACGTAAAACAAACCAAAAAAGCCCACAAAAGCTGGTAAACTCCACAGCAGTGGGGTCCTGGCCTGACTCCATCAAAGGCTCCCTGTGGACAGAGCCCTGTGCGGGGGTGGGGAGGGGTGGGGGGGAACCTGCCTTTCTGATGCACTGGAACACAAGGCCGCAAACCAGCCTCCTGGAGGGCCAGAGCCCATATGTAACCCAAACATTTCTGCAAAGAGATTATCTTAGTTCTGGGAACCTAATGGCCTTTGTTTTGATCAAGGTGGCTTTCAGGGTGGGGCTGTTTAATCTTATAGGGAATAAAATACGACAAAGAAATGAAGGACAACTGACCCTCTAAAAGAAGTAACAATAAGCCAAGAATGCAGTTTCTCCTAATCCTGACCTAAGCATCTTGTTTATTACACTGCCCTACTATTTACAAAGTACATGGAAAAACACCACAACCACAGGAGTAGGGATGGGGTGGGGAAGAATTTCACAAGGTAACTGATCCAGGAGGGAGAGGCAGGTGGAGTTATACTAAGAACTAAGAATGAGAGTTCTGGAACCAAACCGGTTTCCTGTGTGGCCCTGGGCAAATCACAGTCCCACAAAAAGTCTTGGCTTCCTAGCTGGTAAAATGAAGACCCCATTAGAGCTTGTGAGGCCCAGCGATGGCATGCTGGAAAACACCTAGAACCCTCGCAGTGCCTCCAGGTACTCAATAAATGGTGGGCGATGTCATGAACATCATTCTGATGGAAGAAATCGAGCAAAGCTGGCTGTACAAGTCTTTCATTCAATCAAATCTGATTTTCCCAAAGCCGTCCATCATAAAGGAAGTCCCAACTCCCATCAGTGGCAGTGGGAGGGGCCTCCAGGCTGATGTGGCAAGTGAGGAGTAAAGTGACAGTCTACGCACGTGTGCTGTTGGTCCTGGCTTAGCAAATTCACCGTGAAGAGCTTTTCTACTTTCTAAGATGCCCCCTTTATTTCCATCACTCTCCCGCCATGTGCCTTCTAAGCACCCCTTACCCCATGCACTCCCTACGGAACTTCTCCCTTCTCAGGAAACTGTGACTCACGACAACCTAGCTGCTAGGAGTTTTCTTTTGCCCAGGTCTTCGCACAGTGATCGTCAAGCCCAGGTTTAATTCCACACTTGGTCAGCACACATTCCCAATATTCACTCACTGCAGACATCGCCCGGGCTTTGGATCACAATGGTTCCCACCTTGATCAGTCCTTCACTTTCCAGCGAGAGGTCAAGAAGCGCTGATAGGTTTTCACAGATAAGACACTAATTTCAGTATCTTGTACTTAGAATTTCCAAAAGGAAAAAAATTTTAAAAAGCATCTTCAAGACACACTCATGGGGACTCTGTGAATCCCTCTCACCCATCCAATGATTTCACAGCAGAGGGTGCTGGGCAGGACTTGGGAGGAACATGGAAGAGGCTGGCGCTTCATCTGATTTGCATGCATTCTCCCCAGTTTCACGTAGCAGTTCAGAAGAGTAAAAAGACTGACTTAAAAATTTTAATGGAAATATGCAGAGAGAAGGCTCAAGTTTCTTGGGCCCGGAAAAACCACATTTAATGCTCCTAAAAAGAGGAGAGAAGGATGCAATTTGATTATAGTTGTGTAATAAATTTGAGAATTGGAGCTTTTATCTCCATCTCATCTGAAGAATATGGATTTTTTTTGTTTTACCATAATAACTGTGACGGCCATGCACTGCACCATTAAATGTTAAGGAATTCAAAATAATAAGGGAAGAAAGATCTTCATTCCTAGACACATTTTCATGTGTGTATATATATACACACACACACACATACACATGTATATACCTATATATACAAACACACACATATATACATTTTTGTGTGTGTGTGTGTGAGTGAGGAAGATATGCCCTGTGCTAACATCCGTTGCCAATCTTCCTCTTTTTTTGCTTGAGGAAGAGTGTCGCTGAGCTAACATCTGTGCCAATCTTCCTCTACTTTGTTTGTGGGACACCTCCACAGCATGGCTGGTGAGTGGACTAGGTCCACACCTGGGATGTGAACCCGCGAATCCCAGGCCACTGAAGCAGACCGCGCAGAACTTTAACCACTCGGCCATGGGGTCAGCCCCCACGTGTATATTTTTTAAGATGACACATACATACATATATATATATGTCTGTGTGTAAAGACAAAAATGTGTCTGGGAATGAAGATCTTTCATACACACACACATACACACACAGTTATCTATAAATAGTTTGAGAAAATTAATGTGAAAAGTAGAGAGAAAAAAAAAGAGTAAAAAGTTATGGACAAGGCCAAGTTTTTTTTTTTAAATTAAAAAGCCCTTGGAAAATAAGAGATAATTTCCTGTTAGCAATAAAAAATATCAACACACAAGAGGAAAAAAAGACAAGAGCCTATATTATAGAAAGAACTGGTTACTGAGAACGGTTAAAAAAAGAGAGAGATAAGAATAACAACTAAATTGACTCTTAAATCTAACTTTTAAAGATAACATTTTTTCCTGAGTGGTCTACACCTGGGGCCATCTCCGGCAGCTCACAATCTCTCCCACAGCCCACAGCTCTCTGGACCTGCAGAGCAGTACTTGTCAGTCGGCCTTACAACGGGTCTTCATGTTGGGTCTCTTCCCTAGGTTGTGAGTTCCTGAAAACAAGTACCATATTTTAAACATTATGTTCAGAGGCCAGCCCCATGGCTGAGTGGTTAAGTCGGCACGCTCCGCTTCGGCGGCCCAGGGTTTCACCGGTTCGGATCCCGGGCGCGGACATGGCGCCACTCCTCAGGCCATGTTGAGGCAGCATCCCACATAGCAGAGCCAGAAGGATCTACAACTAGAATATACAACTATGTACTGGGGGGCTTTGGGGAGAAGAAGAAAAGAAAAAAACAGATTGGCAACAGATGTTAGCTCAGGTGCCAATCTTTGAAAGAAAAAAAAAACGTTACTTTCAAACTGTGGGCTACGATACATTAACGGGTTGTGAAATCAATGTAATGGGTCACAATCAGCATTGTTTTAATGGAACAAAATAGGACCAAACAGAATAGACTAGAATAGAAAATATCTGTAGTAAAGTAATATTTTGTGTATGTGTGGATAAATGCATGTAGGTGCATACTGGATCACAAGGTAACACACACTTCTTACCAGGAACCTGGTCAAAAAAGTATGGCAAACACTGGCCTTGGACAACGGTTTCCCTTTGTTTCCTTTTCACCACTTTTGAGGGATAAAGCCCACTTCCAGCAGTAATGCAAGACTCTCAACACAACCCCAATGCAGGCGAGGGGCTGTGCTTGGGAAGGGGGATAATGAGGCAGGACCTGTATCAAAATGGAGCAGGGAGGCGAATGTGAAATGATCCCTCCTCTTGATGTTTCTGAGATGCCATTTCTGAGGGTGTTTCCAGCACCCCCCACCCTCGTCCATTCCCTCCCTCCATATGGTACCCACTACATGCCACGCACCACGAGAGATACATTAGAGAATACAGAACAATGCAAAAGGAGACTGCTCTCTTGCAGCTCGGATTCTAGACGGAGGAGAAGACAGTAAGCAAGTAAAGAAATAAATAAGCAAGATCAGGACAGACTGGAATGCCTACTGTGAAGGAAATAAAGAGAGTGATGAGTTAAAAGAGAGGAATTTGCTGCTGTGTGAAGAATAAATGGGTCGGAAGCAGCAAGAGGACCCGCAGAGTTCTGTTATGAGCTGAGGCCGCAGTCCAGGCCCGAGGTGACCAGGTGGCAGCAGCAGTGGAGATGGAGAAAGGAGGACAGCTTCAGGATGTATTCTGGAGAACCAATTAGACCTGCTGATGGATGAGAAGTGGCAGGTAAAGAAAAGAGAAAAATAATGGCTTGGTTTGAGCAACTAACTAGGTCAAAGATTGGGAGGGGGGGAAAATCTAGTGCTGGTTTGAACGTATGAGCTTTGAGATGTTTATGTATTAAGAACTCCTGATTAAGGGACTTGAAAGAACTCGCTGGACATATAGCCACCTCTCTTCCCTCTGCTGTACCCTCACTGACCTCAACCTTTACAGCAAAAGCTCACGAATGTAGAAGGTAGATCTGAGGTGGTCTGGCTTTAGAGGTTTAACATCAACTGATTCTTTTACAGCAGGGGTTGGTAAACTTTTTCTTAAGGGTCAGAGTAAATATTTTAGTCTTTGCAGGCCACAAGGGCTCTGTTGCAATTACTCAACTCTGCCATTGTGGAACGAAAGCAACCACAGACATAAACGAATAGATGTGACTGTGCCTCCATGATAGTTTATTTCCAAAAACATAGTTCAACGTTCACTGCCCCGCGCCCTACAGCTCCTACACTTGAACCCAGGGTTCGGGCTCAAAGCTCCTGTAGTTTTGGGAACCTAAAACCAGGTAAGGGGTCTTCAGGAGCTAAGAGTGTTGGCCTGGGTCCTCTGAGATTGGGGAAGGGGTGCTGATGATGCCTCAAAGCAGGAAAAGGGGGACACCTGAGGGGATGGGGGAGGACGAGGAACAGACACAGCCTTGGATGCGGAGGCCCATCAGAAGTAAGAATCCATATTATTTGTTGAGCTGCGCCTTCCATCACTGCCTTCTGAGATCACTGTGTACGCGCAGCTCACGCTCCCTCTCTGGATCTCAGTTTCCTCATCTATAAATCAGGTGGTCGGACTAAATCATCCCATAGGCTCATGACTCCATGCTCTGAGAATGTGTTACTACAGATTAATCGGTACACATGGGCCTTCATTTTTCCCTGTCCTTCTCAGCTTCCCCACACCGCCATTTTCCCATCTGGGCCAGTACCATTCATCAGTAAAGTCAGTGAGAAGCACATTACTGAGTTTTCAAAGGGAAGCCCTTAGTCGGTTGGCATGAACACTGGAGTCAGACAGCCTCCAGCCTTATTTCAGTGACCTTGGGCAAGTTACTTAAATGCTCTGAGCTTTGGTTCCCTTACCTATAAAATGGGAGTGGTTAAATGATACCTGTTTCACAGGATCATTGTCAGGATATAAGATAACACTGTGCTTGCCACATAGTGAAGCTCAAAAAATACTGCTCTCATTATCATGATGGTAAAAATATCAAATAGCCAGCTTTCTTGACATTGAGCCCCAAAACACACAGCCCTGCTCTGATGGTGCAGGTACTTGTCAAATTGTGAAATGATGCAAATTTCATCTACAAAAATAATCGCACACGGCTGTTTGATTTCCATTGTCTGATGATTCTCTTCCTTGGTCCCAAAGAACCATTTTGTATCACACGCTCTAAGATGGAGGTAGAAATGGAAGGATCAAAATAGAACAAAGCAAAGACCTGGCCAATGGAGTGATGCCAGGAGGGATAAGGGACTTTGAGGAAGCCACTCACTTTAGTCACTTCGTGAACTGAGGCCCCCTGGGTGCCAGGACCCTGTGGCAGTCCAGGGCTTCCCAAGATAAGCTTAAGACATGGAACATCTTTCTTTGAGGTGGAAAGGCCCTGCCCTGACAGCACCCTGGGACAGGGTGGGTGAAGAACGGACTTAGAGAACAAAGCTGAGGTGGGCAGAGTCGGGATGGACAGAAGGAGCCGGCTTTGCATAAGGGAAGGGTTCCCCAGCAAGGAGGGCTGGGCCTCCAGGGCCACTGTCTGTTCTTGCCGGGATCCATGGACTCATGGTGGGAACTGGAACTGATAAGGTCCACTCACTATGTACCAAAAGACACCTGTAGCCTTATAGACAGGGGGCGCCCAGAGTTGACCCAATGGTTGAGTACCATTCTACTCAACATATGGAAAGTGTCTTGTCCTGTGTTTCTGCTCCAACCACACAGGAGTGTTCTCTCTTCCCGTCGCTGCTGGCTCCTCCTCTACTCTGGGCCTAGCTCCTGCTCAGGTTCCTCAGGGCCAAGCTGGCCTAAAGGAGGAAGAGAGGGAGGGAAGGAAGGAGGGATGTGGGCTGGAGGAGGAGGAGGATGGGGGGCAGGGGGAGGGGAGGTATGGGGGGCTTGAAGAGGGGTGGGATGTGGGGCTAGGGGAGAGATGGGGGCTCGGGGAGGAGCAGGAGGGGGGGCTAGAGAAGAGATGGAGGCTGGGGAGGAGCAGACAGGTGCTGATTCTCTCAGAGCTACAGGTTCCCCCATTCCCACAAAACTCATCCTCAGGCACCAGACAAGGCCAGAATCCAGACTTCAGTGCGTCACAAACCCATTCAAACTTTCATGGGGCTAACGAAAGGACGCCCCTTGGGTCTCATTTTAAAGCAGGTCATTTAACAACACCTGTAACCATGACACATCATGACACAAAGGGAGGGTCCATTCTTTACAGCGTAGAACGTCCAGAGGAAGACAAACAGTAACAACTATAAAAGACTGCATAAGCTTGCCAAAGGGCTATAGGACAACAGAGGAGGAAAAGATGAGCCCTGAAGGGGCGGACGGTGTTAGAACCGTACAGGTGTGCACGCACACACACACACACACACACACCTGTGGGCGCACACACACTCTTAGGTCAGCTCCTCCTGTGGACCCATTCAATGCCCACACCCCTGCTCAGGGCAGCCCCTCCCACCCCCAGCTGGGCCCACCCAGCTAGAACACGCAGCCTCTGAGACTGTGTTCTCATCACACCTCCTCTGACTTTCCCACCAAACCCCCTGTACAGAGTCTCACTCCCTTAGGTTCATGCTCTCTGGGCCCTTCAACAGGGTGAGAGGCAAATACTGCAAACTGACTCATGCAGTGTGCCCATGAGAGGGGCCAGAAGCAATGCCAGGGCTTTCCCAGGGAGCATTCCAGCAGGCATCCCCACAGGAGGCTCCAAAGCAAGGGATCGATCAACCTTGTCTACACTGCAACCCTGCTGGGTTCCCAGGAATAAACCACTTGTCCTCTCAGACTCGCAGTTTCTTCCCCTTTATTTTACACTATCTCCCAGTCATGTTGGGCTTAAATAAGGTAATATATAGAATGTTCCTAACCCCATACGCAGCATGCAAAAGGCAATTACTTTAATTCTCCTCTCTGCCAAAGGAAGTCCCAGAAGTTAGATGATACTGGAAAACCACAGAACAGAGAAGAGTTGTTCTAACAAATGACCATGACGTCATACCACAATATAATGCTGAGCAAGTGAGCAATTCCTAAAGGCCCTTTTTGTTCTAAAATCCTGTAATTTATAATCTAAAGACATCGGGGGGATTTTTAAATTTTAAAAGTATTAAGAAAGTGATCTGAGGGACCACCCAAGTACAGAAAGAGGGAAGAAGAGAGAGAGAGAGAACAAAACTGACCACCAAGAATTTTTTTCTAGATACATCACTGTTCACTTCCCATCACAAAATAGACAATTCTTCCAGAAGAAAGATTTGAAAAAAGAAGTCATGTCAGACATTTGGATTTCCCTCTTTGCAGTGTTTTAAATGTCCCACTTTGCTCTCTAATAGTCGTTTGTTTATTTTTTCCAAAAGCAGGAGGGATGGAAAAGTGAAATTACACCCCTGGTCCAGATGAGAATTTCTCTCCCAAGACCCTGGCTGCATTCTTGGCGGGGGGGGGGGGGGGGGCCTGCAGGGCCAGCCCCAATGCCTTGAGGACCACCCCAGCTTGTTGGCATCAGGAGCTGGATACAGAGCCCCCGATAATCACAGCCACTGAATATGTCAAACTCACTCACAACATGTCCTCTGAATATCAGATACGGAAATCGCCTCCACTCCCGCCATCATCTTGCTGTTATTTCACAGATGTGTTCTAAAAGCTATGAAGATGGAAATCATGATTAACGTGTCACCTGCAGGATATTCAGATACATGAGCTCTGTGATGATTTTAAGGTCCATGGCTCCTCCAGAAGCACACCTCGACTCTCCCTGAGCACCCTCTCCCTTGCTGAGCGTCTGCGGATACGGGGACAAGGGAATGCAGGTGGGGCACCTGGGGAAGGAACTGTTTTAAGCAGGTGGTAAACGCTTCAATTACAGTGGAGAAACTGGACAGGTTGTGTGTGTGTGTGTGTGTGTGTGCGCGTGTGCACACAGGTATGTGTTTTAATCAGTGCAGGAAGAATCAACAATTTCCTTGTATTAACACTAAATAAAACCAAAATAGCCCTTGCAAGATTGGCCTAACACCAAATTGCTCTCTAGGAGAACCCTGGCGTCGTGAAGTTGGTGGGGGGGGGTGGGGGGGGGGGGGTGGGAATCGGGAATGCAGACTCGTTTATCAACAGAGTTACCAGGGCTTTCACTTTGCAGGAATCGCCCCTCAGTCACTCACTGTTTGATGTGGCCCCGTTTCTTCTCCTTCCCTCCACTCCCCATCAATGTGATTTCCATGGGGCAAAGGCCAAAGGGAGGGCAGATGTGAAGCATGTCAACTCAAGAAGGCTGGCAGAGCTAGTGAGCACTTGTTTGGGTTGAATTGATTTGTTTTTTTGTACTCTCCAGACTATTGTTTTTCAACTGCCAAAGGGAGTCAAAAGCCAGTGCACTAACAACAATTAATAACAAAACATCCAAAATATATTTACTTATAAATACCACCAAACTCTACAGGAGCTCACACACACATACACACGTGCACACACCCTCATACTCCAAATCAGAAGGCCAAAGAACTGGCATCTTCGTTTTGCTTATTTTTATTGTTCTTATGAGGAAGATTAGCCCTGAGCTAACATCTGTTGCCAATTTTCCTCTTTTTTTTCCCCAAAGCCCCAGTACATGGTCGTATATCCTAGTCATAAGTCCTTCTAGTTCTTCTATGTGGGATGCTGCCACAGCACAGCTTGATGAACAGCGCGTAGGTCCGCGCCCAGGATCCGAACTGCAGAACTCCAGGCTGTCGAAGCGGAGCACATGAACTTAACCACTATGCCACCGGGCCAGCCTCAGAACTGGCATCTTTAAAATCACTTTCTATCCAACTAAATCTTGGGATTCTCCCAAATTAGTTTCCCCAATCTGTCCTTTGAGGGCTCTTAGTAAATAAGGGTTAACTATTCTCACCCACCTGAAACCACACAGTATCACCTACACAGGCTGAGAAAGATAATAGACATAGAGAAGTTTACAAAAATTTCAAACACTCACAAAACACACAAGAAGTACAAGAAGCTGGTCATTTTTATATACTTCTAATACCAGTCATGCTATACCCATTCAGAGAGTGGAACTACGACTCAGATGAATTCAAGGTATTGTGTGGCATCAAACCATACACTCACTCACATACACACACATACATACATACACACACACACAGAGGATAAGTGAATATGTAAATAAATTCTATGTGACCATTTAACTGCTAATAACTTTATTACAGAAACAAAGACATGCACATTTTAAAAGTTTTGACACATGATATGAAACAGGAATGAATAATGATGTGATAAAGTTGTCCAGAGTACTGATATATTCCTTTTTTTCAAATTTTTAAATAACACTTGCTTCTATCACACCCACAATGTTAAAGTTGAAATTGCATAAGCAAACTACAAAGAGGATACATGGCAGAATGAAAGACATATAGTAAATGGCCTTGTTCATGCTTTTTTTTAGTTTAAAAGGCAAACTGAGGGCTAGCCCCAGTGACCTAGTGGTTAAGTGTAGCACACTCTGCTTTGGTGGCCCAGGTTCAGTTCCCAGGGGCAGACCTACGCCACTCATTTGTCAGCAACTGTGCTGTGGTGGCAGCTCACATCCAAAAGGAAGAAGACTGACAGTGGATGTTAGCTCAGGGCCAATCTTCCTCGGGGGAAAAAAAAGGCATATTAAGTCAATAGGCTAGGAGCTACAAGGGGAGATAAAATTCACCATTCATTACATTGCCAGAAATAAGAACCCAGTTACTTTAAAAGTTCAAGATCCAGTAAAGATCTATAAACATACTGTACTAAGTGGAGAGGGGAAAACCTGACAGCCAGCTCTAGCTCTGGACTGAACTTGCCCCTTCCCAGTACCTCTATTTTCTTTAAAGTGATTCAAAAGCCATAAATGATAATTAACGCAATAATGTTTTATGGAGGGCAATAAAGGCATGCGTGGGTCTGAAAAACAAGAGACGCCCTTGGTTGGATTACAACTGGCCCACCTAGTGCCACTTTATCTTCTGGTTGTCAGTAGTTACTCATCTATTTTTAAATGTTCCAATGTGATCTTATCTAATTGGTACATATAATTTGATCGCCTTATTTCCATAACTAAAAGTTGCTGAAGGTACCTGCCCAGGTAAAAGTTACAGTTACAGGGCATGTGTACTAGGCTGGAGCTTAACAGTTATGGCCTTTTAATTAAAAAAAAAATCATAAAGACCCTCTCTCTCAGTATAACACGCACACAGGGTTCTTGGTTGGCTGCTTTGTTTTCTAAGGAGTGGCCATCAGCCATGGGACCAACCAGTTACCCACTCTCCCTGGTGGTCCACAATGGGCCTCTGCTGGGAGCTCCTGCGTGGGGAATCCAGCTTTTTGCCACAGCATCTTGCTACAACCAACTCGGCCCACTCTGAGGGAGAAATTGCCTTTGCAGTGCCCCGAAATTATAGCATAAGCATTCTGAAGGCAAAGGAGAGCCTTTCAACAAACAGTGTCTGAGCACAGCCTGGATCCTTGATGCTGGGGTATCTGCCACGAAGATAAACCTAAAACCACCCCTGACCCAAGTGGGAGACGTGGCAATGACCGACAGCATTGTAAATGTTATGGATCCCTTTTAAATTCTTGCGGGTGCTAAACAAGATACAGACAGAGCCCACGGGGGCAGAGGGCGTGGGTGGACTTGCTAGGGGAGAGGGGGCGGGTTAGGAAAAACTGCAGGAAGAAGTGGCTGATCCAGAACAGTCTACCCTAAAAGACTAGCTGACCTGGACCCTGGGACCCACATGGAAACCTCAGCGGTCCAAGGCTGCCAGGGCACGCAACGTCTGAATCTTCCCTTCCTGCCCTCACACTGAGCCTCCCTGAGGCCTAGTTCAGAGTAACTGAAAGGCAAATTACACTGGTCCTCAATCTCATCATCCTACCTTCCTCGCAAATCGTGTTCCGTGAGGTCCCGCAGAAGAAGGGAGCTGCCACCCTTAGTATTTTCCTATCTATCCCACAGATGGCGACTCTTGGGGATGACAGGATGAGTGTCACCTGGAAACGTCAGTGTCAGAAGTGAGCAGAGGTCACTATGCCAATTCACCTGTGCTACAAGCACAGTGACCTAGAAGATCATTATAGGGTCACCTGGGATGGCACACCTGTTTCCCAACACTTAGCTCACCTGAGAACTGACTGCAACCTGAGGTGCAGACAGCAAAGAACAGTCCTCCAGAAGGTGAACCAGAAGCTCATCAGGTTGATGAATAACTGACAATTACGCAAGGTGACATGATCATAAACAAGAGGACTATCTGCCAAGGGTTATGAGTTACCTGATTACGAGGCATAGGGGAAAAATCTCCGGCTTAACAAACACTTTACACAGTGCATTTGATCTGATAGCGTAAAAGGACTCTCTGACCATTTCATTAGTCCTGAACTGCATCTCAGTAAGGACTCCTGCAGCCTGTATTCTGATCTCCACACGGGAGAGGGGAGGCGCAGGAAACCAGGTACCGCTGCCCAGGAACACACCAGGATATGGACCAACCACGCTCTCAGACCATGCTTCGACGATTAATTAAGGTTTCCAGAAACAGCCAGCCCTTGGTTATCCATGGAAATTTTAGACACAAGAAATTTTGACTCACTCCCTATATTGCTGAGTCACCTGGCCTAAACGTGAGTCCAACCTGGAACTCAGGGTACACACAAATATTTTAGTAGGAATGGTAGTGGCAGCAGTAACACCAATAATCATCGACAGTGAGAAGGGACCATGCGCCAAGCACTATCCTAAGCATTTAACGTGCATTATTTCATTTAATTCTCCCAAGAAATCTAGAAGGTAAGTAGTATCACGACCCTACAGATAAGGAAGTTAAGGTTCAAGCAAGTTAACTAACTTGCTGAAGGTCAAATGCAAATGGTTTGCTTCTGGAACCTGTAAACCTCAGCACCAAAATGGAGAGTGTGCATACAAATGTTCTCTGATACACACACACATATGCTTCATACACATTATCTTTAATCATTCATGTCAGATGAAAAAGTCAAGTTATTATTATTATGACTTTCTATTTATGTTCCTGGCACATGGGCATTGCAGACAAAACACCTTTCCATTTGTCTAGCAAATTTCAAAGGGCGCTCAACTATCTCAGGTGGCCCTAAACAACCTGATGAAGGAATCTGAGAAGTTTAAGTCCATTTATCGCCAAGAAAACAGGCTCCGAAGAGAGAGAGGCTTGCCCTAGATCATGATCAGCAAGAAGCCGAAGCCGGATTCAAGCCTCAGTCTCCTGTGCTGCCTCCCTCTTTCCACCAAACCAGGTTGCTTCCGTGAGAAAATCCAGCCTGCTGGAAATGTTTTCAAATCTACATGTATGGGTCAGAGGGCTCCAACACCTGCGTAAAAGGCTGTACCAAGATAAACAGAATCGCACAAAGTGGGCAACTTGTCTATGCAGCTGCCACTGCTTACACCCTCCCTCCCCAGGTGGGACCCAAGTCTCTGAATTCACCCGGCAGGAAGGAGATTCCAAAAATCATGTGCTACTTTAGAGAAACCTTTAAAGGGAATGAGGGAAAGAAAGGGCTTTGGTTTGACGGACATGGTCTAAAATGGCTGACAGAAAGCTCAACTCCAATATCATTCTGCTGGAATTATCCACACTGCATTTGTTTGGCAAAACAAACACAGCCCTAAATTACACTGAACTCCTGGGGTAGGGTCTCCAGGATCTATGTGGTCCACACATCACAGTGAGGACGTGATTTACATTTCTGATAAGTTACATCCTTGTAAGTGCATGTTGAGTACTTCTACGTGCATATATAAGAGACTGCTATTAATCTTTTAAGACAACAGAAAGAAGCGTTGCACTTTGGGTCTCCCAACTGTGCAGCTGTTCCCCACAACAGTGCATCCATTTCAGTAGCACTTTCTTCCCCCACGCGGAAGCCCTAAGGACAATTTACAGCTAGCGGGGCACCCTTGCTTGGTAAACTTACTCTGACCACTTAGGCTGCGGTGAATCCGCATGGCAGGCCCCAGGCATCACCCAGCAGAGAGGCTCTTCACAAATACCCGACGGCTTGTGAAGATGCCCACCGCTCAGAGACGCCAGCAGTCTTCTGCATCCCAGAGGCGGCCACGCAAGGAAGGGGGTCTCTTCTTGGGAGAGCGCTCCTCTGATTGTGTACCACCTTCCAGCAATGGGAAAGTAATGATCAAATGCTTGCAAATGAAGACTCTCAGAACCTAGCTGAAATGAGTCTGGGGTTCTGTTTAGGTGTTTTAAAGTAAAGAAAGATCCTTTGATATTAAAAAACCTCCCCTAGCACTCCACCTGCCCACCAGGAGCCCCACTCCTCTCTGGTATTTGCCAGGACTAAGCATATAAAAGCACTAGGTATTCAGGGCACATGGGAACCACTGCATCGGTTGTTGGTCCTCCCCATTCTGTAGCATGTGAGTGTGCTGGTATACTCCATCTGCCCCAGAGAGCCACTCCCTACCCTCCTCCACTCTCCTCCCAGTCCTAGGAGACTAACATTTGTGGATGCCTTGACAGGCTCCCTTGCCCACTGACTTCCAGTCTGGTTCCACCAAAGGGAGACACTGGTGAGAGAAGTGAGGGTGGGAGGGGACTGAGGGCAGGGTATACATTCCCCTGGCTCCCTCCAGCGAGCTACATCCTGCTACCAAAGGCCATGCCCCTTTGTGGGCCATAACCTCAGCTACTCTCTCCTCTCCTTCACCCCCTCAGACCTGGGGTGAGGAAAGTTCCCTGGTGTAGCCAGACATCGCCCCTACCCAGGGGTGGTACGCCATCCTTGCAGGGTTCCTGGATCCCTGCCCACTGCTATAAACTGGCTCTTTATTAAACGCTCCTCAGTTACTTCAGTTTGAATGTGCCATCTGTCTCCTGCCAGGACAGTGACTGACAAAATAACAACTGAATAGATTGCCCTAAAATTTTACTCTTGGAATCTACATACTACAATATGTGCATAATTCCCTTGCAATTTCTCCAAGTCAGAGAGGATAGCGCTCAGGCAGGGGGAAAAATGCCACCAATACTTCCATAATAATTTACTATACCTTGAAAGGGCCGAATTCATCTTCTTAAAAAGTGAAGTAAGCTTTCAAACATGAAAACTCGATTACAGTATTAGAAAAGTATGTTGTTACTAAAAATATTCTCCGTAGAATTCCTCTATAAGTGCATCATCAATGATTATTATTATGTTTCAGTCACTTTGTGCATAAAAATTGCAAATAGGACAACAGCGTCAGTGAAGTTTCCAGTTTTAGAACAGCCAGTTGGAAACTACGTCTCACCAAGAACACTTCACAGAGTAGATAATAAAAACATGGTATGAATTTGATTATTATAACAATAACGTTGAATCAAAATTCCTAGGAATTTAAGACCTAACAGTCAACCTGATCCTCAAGACCACTGGTATTTTGTACTAGGTCAGGGTGACCTTCAGAAAACTAAAACATAAACCAAAGTTTCAAATCTAAAAACTATGAGCTGTCTCATATTGGGCATAGAGCGGGTAAGGGAGAATTTCCAACAAAGCGACAAGATATAACGAAAAAAACCCAAAACACTGATAACCTAACATGCACTGACATTCTTTAATCACCAAGGAATTATTCAAATCCAGAGTCAATATCCACAATGTCAAAAAAAAAAAATTAAAAGGGGCTTTTAACAAACTAAATGTAAACGATATGCTTTAAAGACACTGAAAGTGTGTGTCAACCAGGGTTCTGTAGGGAACAAGTTTACGAGTTCATCTAAGGCCAAATGATCGTGTGAAGGCTGATGATCATGGCTTTTCCACAGCCCTGGGTTCCAACAGTGGGGTGTTGGTTCCCTTCCCAGGGATGAGCCTGTTGCTACAGGTCCCAGAGTTGCGGCATTTCAGAAATTTTGCAACAAGTATTAAGGGAGGGAGCACGTAAACAATGTCTTTGTCTTGGGAAACCATGATGACATCCAGACACAACAGCCTCAGCCCCTCTCCTTCTATCTTTCCTACACGGCACACAGCAAAGTTACGATTTTATATTTAATTGTGAGCTTATTTGATTAATGTCTATCTCCCCTTGCTAACATGTAAACTCTAGGAAGGTAGAGACTATTTCCATTTTTGCTCATGACTCAGCGCCTCAGACAGACAGTGGTACTCAACAGATCCTCCAACCATTTAAACCACACTTTTTCATAGTAGGTTTGAGAAAAATAAGTCTAAGACTTCACTAAACATACTGTTTCACAGACTTCTGACTTTGGAATTAAGAAATATTTTATTATCCCAAATAGAAGTGTAGTCAAAAGGAGAACAATACAAATTAAAATCATGAGCTATGGCAACATGCTAAGTGCTGATCACGATCTGAGGCTACTGAACACAAGTTGTTGGGAGGAATGGAAACTAGCACAACCACTTTGGAAAACAGTTTGGCATTTTCTTATAAATTGAACATATACTTGTCATGTGACACAGAAACCCCACTCCTAAGTTTACAACCCGAGAGAGATGAATTCATATATCCACACAGAGACTTGTACAAGAATGTTCAGAGCAGCTTTATTCATAAAACCTAAATACTACACGCAATCCAAAATCCATCAGCTGGTGACCAGACAAACAAGTTGTATCTCCATAAAATGGAATACTACTCAGCAATGAAAAGGAATGAATTACTGACACACACAACATTTATGATGCTCAAAAACATTGAGTAAAAGAAGCTAGACATAAAAGTATACCATTCTATGATTTCCTTAATATGAAATTTTAGAAAAGGTAAAACTAATCTACTGAGGAAGAAGGTACATCAGTGGTTGCCTGACGGTTTGTGTGGAAGGAGAGGGATACTGAGACAGAGGCACAAGAACGCTTTCTGTGGCGAGGAAAGTGTTCTGATTTCCATTGTTTTGGTGGTTATACAGGTGTATATGTATTAGTCAAAACACTTTAGTGGGTGTATTTTACTATAAATTTATTAAATTATCACTCATTAAAGGTGAATTTTTTTAAAAAGAGCCAACCATAAATCTAAAATTTAAAAAAAAGAAAAAGAGCGAACAAAATAACCTAACTAGAGGATCAAGTTGGCAACATAACTTCACAGGGAAAAGAATTCTTTCACAGGGCTTCTGAATTCAATACTGACTGTCTATGCTAGTGGAGTGTATACTAAAGACAAAATGAACTATAAAGCAATACAATTTCTCAATCAGAACTATAGTATGAATAGGAACAGAGAATATAATTTTGAAACTACTTTATGTATTTTGCAGAATAAAGCAAAGAGTAAATGTGTTGATAGCATTAACCGTATTAGAAACCAAGCAGAGAGCTATGAATACAAAATCAATTATTTTAAGGAAAAACCCAGTAATGTTAAATATGATTTGTAAATATCAATAAACTCATGATTCTATTTTTCCTTAGCTCTGTCCACTGAAAGCCCTGAAAATAATAACACCCCCACCACTATGAACACACCTAGAATCCAGATTTGTTTCTAAAAAATACCATTTGCCACTAAAAGGGAACAAAGCTTTCTGGAGTAATGGATGACTCCACATTTGGAAATGGAAAATATAAGACGAGCTTAGGATGTTTCTACACAAGAAAGTATGAAAGTACTCGAAGTACTCAAAAAGGCATGTTCAAAGGACATAAAAGGAAGCTTGAAAGGGGCCTGACTGGTCAAATCTGTGATAATTTGAACATCAAAACAATGATTGCAATTGATTATATAACACTGACTAAATAACAACCTATGAGTCCACAGTGATATTCAGAGAGAGAGATTTATTTGCCACCAGTAGAAGCGATTATTACACCAATCCTTTTCTCTACAAATCGGTCATTACAGTTCTTTTAGAAACTGTAATGCCAACTAATGATAGAATTAGAAAAATCACCATTTTGCAACCCCCATTGAAATAATTCAGGCAAGAATCATCAACGGATACACACACAGTGCCAAATTATCCCCACATAGATTGCAGGCTAATTGCAAAGGCAAAAAGATAACCATCCAGTGGGGAGATCTGGCATCACCCATTATGCCCCTATTCAAACTTAGCATCACTAACAGTGGGACAACCTGGTGGGATGGGATGGTTTACGAAGCACCCAGCATCACCTGGCAACTGTCTAAATAAGCATGAACCCAAATAAGCATTTGGATCTCACTTCCAGGGGACACAGGGACAAGTTGAACAACATCACAAGGAAATAATCAGCCAAATTCAGGATGTGAGACATCCCCCAAAACAACTGGCCTTGGCCTTGATCTTCTCAAAAAAAAAGGATGACAGGATCATTCCAGACTGAAGAGACTAAAGAGAGATAAAAATCCAGTCACAATGCCTGTGCACTGGATCCTGTTTTTAAAAGAACACGAAAAAGTTATACAAGGCTCTGGGGGACAATGGCAGAAATCTGAATATGGACTAGATATTGGCTGCTGTAAGGAATTATTTTAAATTTTCTTCGGTGTGATAATAGTGTTGTGGTTATGCAGGAGAATGTCTTCATTCCTAAGAGATCCGTGCTGAAGTTTTAAAGGGTGAAGTCATAATACCTACAACTTTCTTCTAATTGGTTCATATAATCAACACATAAAGATGACACAAATACAACACATTAACAATTATTGATCCTAGGTACTGGGGTATACAGCTGGTCACTGTGCTCTTCTTACAACTTTTCCATGTCTGAATTTTTTCATAATAAAAATATGAGAAGAAAAAAAAGCAGCAGAGATGACATTACTACCATCTGTAAGGTCTTATCCGAGACAGAACCAGTACTCTACACACCTCCATAGGAGACATGAGCTGAACTACGCCCCCTCCTGTAATTCCTATGCTGAAGCTCTAACCCCCAGTGCCTCAGAATACTGCATGTGTGCATGCGTGCGTGTGTGTGTGCGTGTGTGAAGCGGGTGGGAGTTGAGATAGCTCTTCGGAATGACTTCATGTCTGCAGCATCCGCGGGGGAATGCCCAGATGTCCTGGAATCACAGGTTCTTGCGCACTCACAGGACTCCTCTCTGAGCCAGAGACGTCTGCGGAGATCCCTGCAGCCTGGGCGGATCCTGGGAGAGACACTTAAAATGCACACGTCTGTCTGCTGCAAGCGATGGATGAATTTTCATCACTGAGCAGAAATGTTTCAAATATACGAAAGTCATTTCTCCTTGAAATAAAAGAAACGTTCTCATGTTCATCATCATGGTTCTTATTTATTAAAAAGAGAGGACATTTTAAATACGTTTTAATATTACACAATTTTTACCTTTACAGAATCAAAACATGCAAATAAAACCTACTAAGAAAAGGCAAGGAAAATGCTGTCTCATCAAATCTCTTTTCCCACATTATTTGCATCACGCTCAGGTTATGAGGATAGAGTGTCAGTTCTAAAATCTTGGGATGTGAGAGCTGGAAAGAGTCTTAGAGATCTCTGGGTCAGCTCTCCTCACCGGACATTTACGGGACCTCAACCCTGACAGGCAGGCCTTGCCACGAACACACGGCTGATGGCCTGGCCCGGACTCCCTGCCATAGCCATGCAGGCCTCTCTCCACCCTGGCCTTCACTCAGGGACCTGCCCTCGCTGTCCGGAAACCCCACAGCTGTGGTAAGAGCCCTGAGTCCTCCCCAGCAGACAGCAGTAAAAGATTTTGCTGGAAGGCTAGCCCACAGTTTCTCAGCCTCAGCCCGACTGGCATTTGGGGGCGGGCTGATTTTGTTGGGGGGCTGTCCTGTGTGTTGCAGGAAGTTTAGCAGCATCCCTGGTCTCTACTTACTAGATGCCGATAGGACTGCTCCCCCAGGTTGTGACAACCGAGTCTCCAGACAA